CATCAATGGCCTAAAATACTGTCCTAAGAATAAACAGGATGGAGACTGCTAGTTTGGCTACTTGGGGAAAGAGGAGAGACGAGCAAACAAACGAACAGTGAATAACGCGCAGCCCCCCTCAGGTTACTCCCAAACAATGAAATAAATTTGTCAACTTCGAGTCCCGAAAGGGTGCTTAGCATCACTACTTCTGAGTGGTCACTAATAAAAGGCTTCGCTTTAGCAGTTGTCTTCAAAAAAGGTGAAAAAAAACAACGCATTCCACTTTGATGGGAAGGGAAAGGTAAATTAGTAGTAAGTCAACGTTGAAAGGGACCCCAAAAAGGAGATCCCCTCGTGGAGAGGGAGAGAGAAAGAGAGAGGAAGGCGCCTCCGTTTCCTCACACAGTTTGAAATGACGACATCAAAAAAAGCGGCCGTAAAAACAATCTGAACGAGTTTTGCCGACATCAAAGACTACCAAAAGGGGAATTAAATCATCCGTTGTGTGTAACACACTTCAGCCTTGGTAGCTAGAAGTAAGTAGGAGACAAATGCTAGTGTCTTGGGTAACCGCTAGGTGGAAAGGGAAGATGCCAAGAAAGAATAGATAAGGGAGACATAACTAACTAGTCGTACGAATTAAACCTTTTACCACCCTTGGAATCATCTGGGAGAGCAAAGAAAACCAGATCCATGGAAGCACAAAGTATGGTGCTCTTGTGGGTGGATGTCGAATTGTATGGTGTAGAAATGGAACGTACTGACGCGACACCGCACATAAGTTCGCGGCCCACGGTAAGTCTCCGGTGGCGGTGGAAAAGTGTTTTCATCAGGAAATTTGAATCGATTCTCCCAGGTCTTATCCTCTGGTGGACGTGATGGCAAAGGTGGCGGTGCCCCTTGAGAGGCGCCGAAACTCGACCTTGGACAGTAGGCGCTTTCTCTGGGCTGACGTGGTGCTGGTGGTGCAGGTGGTGCCGGAGCCTTAACGACAGAAAATAGTGCTACTAAAGGCAGAACGCAGCCTTCACGACGGCAAACGACAGAACTCATTCCAGCAGTTCTGACCAACCAAGAAGCTGTCTTTTGTATTAGGCATAAAAGGAAGCGAAACAGTCAAACTTTGATGCATTATCGGTGGCGCAAATGTCGTTTTGGTAGAGCGTCTAGGCCCTCGCCTCAGGTACTTGTGCGATGATGGTCATCAAGAGTTCAAGGCTATGCTCTCACAGAAATGACACGTTATCTTAGACAGTTTGATTATGGCAACATGGCAGTAACCGCAAGGACACACACACACTTGACATCTCAAATAGACATTAAACAACCGTTTAATTTCACAAATATCCTCACTACAAGGAGGCTAAAGGACACCCCTACCTTGGCAATTGTTTTAGATCTACGTTTGAACTTACAACCGAAAAGAGCGAACCCTACAACCTGTGAGTCCAAATCATGCACAATTGAAAGCGTTAATAAAAAAGGGAGGGGGA